GACTCGTCGGGCATTCTGTCTCCTCTGGAGTTCAGCCGGCGGTCCACCGGCAGCCGCGACGTCCAATTCAAGGTCCTCTACTGCGGCGTTTGCCACTCGGATCTCCACCTCGTCAAGAACGACTGGGGATTCGCCAAATACCCTATGATCCCCGGCCATGAGATCGTCGGCATAGTCACCGAGGTCGGCTCAAAGGTCGACAAGTTCAAGGTCGGCGACAGAGTCGCTGTCGGCGTCATGGTCGGATCGTGCCGCGTCTGCAACCAGTGCGAAAACAACCTCGAAAACTACTGCCCCGAGAAACTTGACACCTACAATGGGGTCCAGGCCGACGGCTCCCTCACCTACGGCGGCTATTCAGATCTCATGGTTGCCGAAGAGGATTTCATCATCCGGTGGCCGGAGAATTTCCCGATGGACCGTGGAGCCCCGCTTGTTTGCGCCGGGATCACCACCTACAGCCCGCTGAGGTACTACGGGCTGGACAAGCCGGGCCTCCACGTGGGGGTTGCCGGGCTGGGCGGGCTTGGCCACGTGGCGGTCAAGTTTCTTAAGGCATTCGGGGCCAAGGTGACGGTGATGGACATTGCGCCGGAGAAGAAGGCTTACGCGCTCGAAACCCTGGGTGCTGACCAGTTCCTGCTGAGCCACGAGCTGGAAGCCGCGGCTGGAACCATGGACGGGATACTCGACTGTGTATCGGCCTTCCACTCAATCCAGGCTTACCTGAATCTCTTGAAGCCGCATGGCAAGCTGGTGGTGGTGGGCTTGCCGGAGAAGCCACTGCAGCTGCCGATGTTTGCTCTGGCGACGGAGAGGAAAATGATTGGCGGAAGCATGATCGGTGGGATTAAGGAGACGCAGGAGATGATCGACTTTGCGGCTAAGCACAATATATTGCCGGATGTTGAGATTATTTCAATGGATTACATAAATACGGCTATGGAGCGCCTTGCGAGAGCTGATGTCAAATACAGATTCGTCATTGATGTGGCGAATTCACTCAAAGCTTAGTCAGTGGAAGGTTTAGATTATACTCATTATTTATTTTATTTTTTTTCAAATTGTTGGTGGGATTGTTTCAATTTGATGCAAGTAGATTTTGGAGGAAAGATTATATGTTGCTTTTAATTTACTAGTAAAGTGCACGTGCTATGCACGTAGTAACGAATGATTTTAGCTGAGTAATTTTATATTTCTCATGAGCCAACTTCAATTGATATTGGACAATAAGTAATTTTATCACTAATTTTACTTTTGGATTTAATACGAATTATAAGCTTTCTCATCATTCTCACCCCTTATTTAGTTATTATAATACCAATAAAATAATTGGGGACTTTTTAAAGTATCTTGTTTGTTTTGAAAACAAAAATTACTATCATAAATTAAATGACAATGTTATTAAATATGTTGTATTTTCTCTCATATCAAAATTTTCATAATGATTAACTGCACACAATATTATATATAATTAGACATGTCCAAAGGTCGGGCCGGTTCATGACCCTACCCGTCCCGCTGGCTTGACGTGCCTCAAATGATGGGTCGAAACCCGCCCGGCTATCTATGGGCCGATTCAAATGACCCGCCCTAACCCAATGAACCTGCCTTCTGGCCCGGAACCGGCGGGTCAAATAAGAAAAAATACGACCCGAAACCGACCCGGTTTTACCACAGGTCCGGTTCCAAGACCCGTAAATCCCGGCCATACAATAAAATGAGAAAACTGCAGCGAAAATTACAACAAAACTACATTACAACGATAATTCTAACAGATATTTTAATGTTATTAATCCCGTTTGAATTTTTCAATAAAATTTTAACAAAAATATTTTGTTGGAATCATAAGTAAATCCATGTTTATTTAATAGGCCCGACAAATGCCCCATCCCAGAGCATATAGCATAAGGTATCTAACAAAATTTGTGGGAATATTTTTTATAATTTTAATCATACCTCCTATTTTCAAAATGAAATTTTTTTTAAAAAAAAAAGAAAGATACATAATAAATAATTTATAAATCATTAAAATATAATTTAATTGAACTCATAACTTTATTAATATTATAACATACCCGCACTATCACGAGTCACAACTAAAGAAAATATGGTAAATCTCAAAATTACAATTTTACCCTTTAGTTCTATTTTTTTAAATCTTGACGATAACTTACATTCTCTCTTTTGCCATTTTTTTGTCTCTAACTTCAAAATATATTATTTTGTATCTTTTTTAACTAATATATGTGGAATTCTTGTTATATATTTATAATTTATAAATTCATCAATTATATTGTCGAATCAATTATGCTACAACATAAATTCAACAATATTTTTATGTTGAAATGAGAAAAATCATGCTTTTTGTTTTCTTAAATATTTTCAACTTATTGTGACTGTATTGAATTGTCAAAATGTATTAGAAATGAGAAAGACGATAGATTGTGTATAATATAATTAATAAAGTGTAATGACATGCTATTTTGATGATATATTTTTTTAACTAAATAGTGTCCCCTATATGAAATTATTTTGGATCTGTCATTGTAATTAGCTTTCTGATGGAACTTCCATTGAATTTTTGAAAATTCCAATGATAATTTTTCCAACAATTGAATTATGGTCCAAAAAAAAATCCAATAAATTAAGATAATTGAAATCATTAATCCACTAAAGTTAATTGAATTTAAACTCTGAATAGCCGATGAAATTTTGCAATGAAAGCAACCTATAAAATATCTGTTGGAATTTTCAGTAGAATATCTTACCGTTGAATTTTTCATTACAATATAGCAACTTTTTGTAGTCTTCTTAAACAATAATTTTTATATAGTATTTATTGATTAATTGTGTTTACAAATTTTATATTTAAAATACATAAAATACATGAACATTTTAGTTCTTATATTTTTTTTTTCAGAGATCGCTCAAAATTTTATCTTAACATTACCTATTAATTTATCATTTGAGTTACATTTCTTACATATTAAATATTAAAGAATTAAAATATTTATTATTTTATATGTTCAATATGAAAAATTATACGGGTTTAAATTTATATTTTTAATAATGAAATTATACGTTTTTAACCAATATACATGTTTTGATATAAATAACATACTTTAGGAAACAACAAAAGTAAGAGTATTGATTAAACCCGAGTGTCACCTTTATTATCCCCTTGGGATCCGACACTCGGGTATTACCGTGTTGCGGTCCTTTTAGTTGTTTTGTTGGTTTAGTTGTTTTAGTTGGTCTCGTTGGTTAGTTTAGTGAGTTTTATTCTAGTGTTTGCTAGCCGGGATTCTAGGCGGTCTTCGGACCTGTCCTCCCACTTTTTCAGCTGTTGGCTGCTGTGTATTCAGCCGTTGGCTGCTGTGTATTCGCACATTTGTGCATTTTGATTTATAATATTATCTATCGTTTTGGAAAAAAAAAAGAGTATTGATTAAAAAATATGATAGATCGAGAATGATGTCCATGCACCTAGCACGTAACCCAAAAGTAAAAAACTCATATAAAATAACATAAAAAAAAAATATTTTCACAACATGCAACGTACGTGATACATAATTTATATTTTAATTTTATAAATTATATTTTATTTTTTATTTTTTCATGGTGTATTCAATTTTTTGCATTATTATTTCAACTAATCGAACAAAAGAAGTACATTACATACTTAAATGTGTCAAAGATATTGAAAGTTGAAATAGAATTTTGAAAATAATAATATGTAAAAGTCATGGTCAAAATTATTGCATGAAAATTTTGGTTGACAAACATTCATTATCTAAGTTAGCTTGTTTATTCGAAATCTTTTTTGTTCGGGGAAGATTGAAAAATATGCACAGTAAAACTATATTAAATATTTATAGAATAATTTTATGTGGTAGTTTACAATTTTATCGTATTATCTTGTTGAAGAAGACTATTCTTTGTCATTATTTTTATTGATTAAATAAAATAGTTATAATTCAATTGATATATGTTTGCATAATTTTCAAATATTATTCATATTATCGTCCCTTTTCCAGTGATAGTTTTTATATGCATTTTTCAATTGATCTAGTTTATTAAAGTTATTTTCCTGAGTTATAAATATATATTAAAATTCAAGTTTTTCTCCAATTTTTAGTTTTTCTATTCATTAAATACTATTTTACTTTTCATGAACCATTAAAAACATATGGTACACAATCTCATTTAGATTACAATAATCTTAAAAAATATTTTAGAAACATTATAAATATTTTTTTTGCTAAATTAAATTATATTTTCTTTTCACTTAAGAAATAAATTGATTTAAATTAAAAGTTTCATATTATACGTAATGAGCTATAGTTATTTTGGTCTTCAGATCACACTTAATGCTAAAAAATTTGCAATGTGTGTAACTTATCAACCATTTAATGTGTAGTGATCACATAAGATGTATAATCTTAATTTTATTACTACAAAATATTAAAATCTCCTACAACGCCCGATGTAGATGAGCCATAAAATTATAACCTTGGCCAAATTAAAAATATTAATATGTATAAACTTGGACAAATTTTTTGTCTAATATTTGTTCTTATATATATATATTCAAGTTGTATTTATATATCATATGATATCTTAGGTTAGATAGAATTTCATTTAATTAATAATTTATCATAAAATTATTGATTAAATACGTATTAAGTTGAAATATTACTTTACGAAAATTCTTGTATAAGACGAATTAGCGGATTGATCCGTCATAGTTTTTTGAATAAAAATATTTACCTAGCAATAAAATATCATACTTTTATTTTTTATTTTTTAAAGTATGACAATTCAATTTGAGTGTAGTATATATATTAGAAATGTATGAATGTTTAATCGTTAGGTCCGCTTACTTTATATATTGGAAATGTATGAATGTTTAATCGTTAGGTCCGCTTACTTTACTTATATATTTACTTTTTTTTATTATATTGTATTTTCTTATAGATATGAAAAACTATTAAAAATAGACACACATGTCATGGTATCTATAGTAATTTTGTTAACTTGTTTTTACATTTGTACACAACCTTTATTAGTTTCACACACAAACCACAACAAAAGATTAAGAAATCTATTTATTTTTATATTATAATTACTTTTTTTTCTTGTATGTAATCGGACAATTATTAATAATTACTTTCTTATAATAAATTTAATTAAAAAATTACATCATAACTATTTTATTAATCATTTTTAATAAATAAATAAGTTGAAATTTTTAAATTATTTATAATATTTTTTACCAAATTTTTAAAATCTTAGAAGTTAGAAATATTCTTTTGAATAAAATTAATTCTTAAAACTTATGTGTAAGTCAAAATGTGAATTATTTCTTGCACCAACAACAACCAAAAATAACTACTTTTGAAGAATAACAATATTCGTCAAACACAAAAAGATCTTCAAAAACATAGGTTTGAACTGAAATGATAATTCTCTTTTCCAAAAGCAACAAATGAACAAAATTTTAACTATGCAATAACTATCATAAAATGTTATTTTCTATTATTTTATCCAGAGCATGTAAAAGGCGTAACAGTTAATCTAGACTATTGCTCATCGTTCATAATACTTGACTCAAACTAAAATGATTGGTACATTCTCCACTCATAAAACTATGTCACTTTAAGATATATTTTTATTTATAATTACTTATTATTTTATTAGCATTTTCAAATTATATACATATGAATATCTTAAAGTATAGCTAATTACTTTTAACTATATTTAATATATTTTCTCTAAAAGTATTAATTTATACACATTATAATTTAATGTGAATATATTTTGGTAATTCAAAATGTTCAATAAATAACTCTTATATGGATATAAGTTATAATTGAGGTCAAGAAAATTATATATAAATAAAGTCCATGTTTTCAAAGAGCGAAACATATGATTATCTTACCCATATTGCTTACATCTTGTATAGTCATCAAAAGATCTCACAAAATAATTATAAGTGATTACTTGCACTT